TCTTTCCCTCCCTGCTCATTTCTGAAAGTTTATAGTTTCTTACAGGCTTGGCTGTGAGTGGGGGGAAGTGAAACCTCACGTTTTAAAGAAATGAGCAATAAGAAACTGAGCTCAAAAGGGCAGAAATTAGACAATGTGAAGTGAGAGATGGAAGCTGAACCACTGCTGACATTTTCATTAGCTGGTCTTCTCTTTTTTGTATGACAGCCTGCTTCCCAAAGGGAGCAAAAAGTTTCAAATTTTTCTACAACCTTGCAGGTTCATTTCCATCATTGTATCAATCTAAGTTTATGTATTTTGCCTGGTTTTCAATTTTTAAACTATTTTCCTTATTTTGTTTGTTTTTTAGCAAAATTATAAGGATTTTATTTATATCTATATATTTTACTCAGTATATTTCTTTACCAGGAGAAGTAACTGAATACATGCCAAATACTTTTTTTTGCTTGCTATACTCTGATGTATTAATTCCCAATATAACTGTGTTGATTTTAGTTACAGTTGAGCCAATCTGATTGTAAATGAAGCCAAATGCTGCAATGTTGATTCCAGGCCTGATCATGAGTTGAAATTAACTCATGCTGCTTTTTACCTGTTAGAATGATTCCTTGATGGTACCTTTCAGTAATAATGGAAACAGCCATAAGCAGCTGTAGATATCCTAAAACCTTTCATAAGTAATTCTGTCTTTACTGTAGTCACTGAAAGTGTAGTTGTGAGTCAAGTAGGTTTGATAATGTGGGAGTTTTATTTAAGATGGTGATTTCTGGAAAGGATAAAACCAAATTTCTACAAAAGGTTCCTGGACCTGAATTTAGGTACATCTCATAATATTATGAGTATTCTCACTTTTCTTCCAGTATGTGGTTTTTCTACTCACTTGTACATATGAATACATTACAGTACTTTTTTTTTCTTTACAGTGTTTATTAAACAGCAATAATGAGCTTAAATACTAGGTGCAATATTTTTGTCAATCTTTTTGTTAATATGAAACTTTTAATTATAGGCTGGGGTCAGAGAAAGAGGAGAGGAAAGCTAAGACTGCAGCCCAAAGCTGACAAGAACTGACTAAAAATAGTTGACCTTGCTATGTGCAAATGGCTTTTTAGCAGATTTAGCATCCCTTGCTGCCAGTCATCTGCAGTTTTCAGACCCTGAAGAAATAACTAATCCATTTGTTGCTAGGTCTTCCTTCTCTAATGTAAAATGTAAAAATATTTCTTATCTTTAACTCACTTACAGAAACTCCCTTTCAAAACTAGTAAATGTTTATCAAAGCATAGAGTGCTTTTCATCTGGGTGTAAGTGAGATGACCCAACTATTTGTTCACTTCTGCTGTTTTCCCACTAAGCAGCTTCTATCCAGGCAGGCTTTTAGTAGGTGTTTTGTCCTGATAAGCAATGCGTAAATCTTTTGCCTGGCCTCCATCCTTTGCACTATTGCCTTTTACACACACTTAACAAGTGCTAACAGACTGGCCTGTGCTTGCTTGACAAGCAAATCACTGGATGCTGGTTTGCTTGTCGAACAGCTTGCAGAAAAAAAGATAAAATGGATATTTCATGGACTAAATGGGCATCTGGGAATTTGCCCTGGTCTTTCTCTTCTCAGTGGTGGAGCCCTATCTGCTCTGAGGGAGCCGATAGTTTTCAAGTGGTTTGAAAATTGTGACATTTGGGGAGACTATGTTAAGAGCTATGAAGTGAGAGTGTGACTTAAAAGGTGGGGCAAGAGCTTGGTAGTAAACTTCAGGCCACCTGGTCAAGGGTGTTTACAGGCATTTTTCAGATGCTGTTGTGTATATAGACCTAAAGGCTGAATGGTGAACAAGACAACTTAAGTCTCTGTGGTTTCAGTGGTAGCTGCTAAATGATCAGCATTTTGGAAAGTTAGGTCTCTCTTTAGATGTCTGCACACAAACTATAGTAGTCTGCTTCTCCCTTAACATCTTATTGTTGGCATAAAAAATCAGCTTCTAGCTTGCAGGATTTTAGATATGAACGACTAGCTGAAAGAAACCAATATTTTGCATGGAAGTTAAAATGTCCTAAATAAGGCCAAGGTTTATTGTACGGAGGGCTGTGGAATAAATGCCACAACTACAGGCATAGGGGACTGCAAAAGCTGAATGTGAATTTTAGTGATGTGAGTCCTCATTTGATCATGTGTAAACGAGCCTGAGTTATAAGGGCAAGAGAAGTAAATGTGCCACAACTCAGCGGCTGGTGAGCCAGAGTGTGTTACACAAAGATAAACTCACGTCTTCGTGTGTGCTTGCTCTTAGTCTATGTGGTTCTTCCTCCATTCTTGCCCTATTAGCCATACTCACTCCATCTCCACTGACTCTTTACCTAGTTCTGTACTGGTCCTGGGCACCCAAAACCTGGAGCTAAGAAGTAGGAATTGTAAATGGGGACCTAGCATGATCTTGGCAGTCCACCAGAGATGAATAATAGCTCTAATGACATTTTCATCATCAGAAAACATATAACGTTTCATAAGGATGCTTAAGGGATTTCCCTACCTCCTGTCAGTATTTCCATATTGGTTTTATATCACAACATTAATAAAAGCCTGTGGGTAAATGTTTCATCACTTTCTGTGGATTGGAAGAGGATCTCAGTCTTTCAACTGGTCTATAGTGTATTTATATGAACTGCATTAGAACTTATTTGGTGCCATTTTCCCCCCACTATTTTTAGGTCTCAACAGCTATTTATCTAACCTGTTCTGAGACTATATGCAAATGTCTGGAAAGTCCCAGTCGTTTGAGCAGTCTAGAGAAGAGAATGAGAAATATCTAAACAATCAAATTGAAAGTGACCCTCCCTAATTTGTGTTCAGTAAGTTCCACTTACTACCAAAAAAAAAAAAAAAAAAAAAAAAAAAGAAAAAGAAAAAAAAAAGCCATGTCTTTCTGATCCCTCCTTCACCCTCCTTAGTCCCTTCGAAAACTGCCTAGAAAAAGAGGACAGCAATGAAAGGCAAATTAGAATGGAAACTGCCACTTGCTGTAAAGGTTGTCCTAGGAAAACGCTGATTACTCTTTATCCATCAGAGCAAATCTAGATAAAATATAAAATGAAAGCTTATATAACTGCATAGTCATTGTGCTTGGAATTTTTTTTGCTAGGATTTGAATCTTCTTTTCTAGACAATAACTTGTCCACTGTGCTTACACATTGTGCCTAATTAAGTTATAACTGCTGCTTATGAGAAGATCAGATAATTCAGGGAGGGGGGTAAAAACTTGCTAAGGAAGTTCTAATGCATTTCTATCCCCAAATCTACAGCCTGTCCATCTGTCCTGCTGACAAAACTGCTTTTTAGCAAGAACAGTGCAAGGCCTTTTGAATTAGCAATCTACTGTTAGTCCCAGCCTGACTTGGTAATATTATTTGATCCAGCTGAATTCTCCTTATTTTACACCATCAAGGAACTTATTAATACAGTTGCTGAATAAGTAAGTTATATGAATGATATTGGTTACAGCAGTTATTGGATTTGAATTATCTTTAGGACAGGTCCTGTGTGACAGTCACATGCTGGCCAGGTGAAGGAACCTGCAGGATATTCAGGCTTTCACTGGTGCACATAACCAAATTAAGAAGTGCAAAAATCAGCTTTGTGTTACAGTCAGACAAAATGAATAATGGCAAATCTCCTCTAAAACGTCTCTAAAACCATGTGCTCGCTTTGGGATGTGTACCTATCTTGGGAAAGGGCACGAGTCCTGGCTTTCTCATTGCACAAAATTCTACCTACAAGAAGGTGGTTCCTAGTAGAGATGGTTCTGCAGTACAGTGTCACTGGTCCTGCTTGTTACTAATTCAGCACTTCAGGTTCTCTAAAAATAACCTTCTGTCACAGTCATTTAGCCAGTAGCAATTCTGCCTGCCTGCTGGGAAACATCTTTCCTATTCAATCTTGGTTTAATTGGGGATTTGCAAGGTAGCTGATAACTTAAAATAATGCTAATTACTCCAAAGCAAAGTAACAAAGGGACATGATCACAGGAAGCATACAATGTTTCTTTTGTCTTATTGCAAAACATTAGCCACAGTGTTGATTACTTTTCTCATTTATCACCCCAATGGACCTGCATTGGCACAAGACCACAGCTGCCAAAGTAAAACCAAGCAAACTCACTTTACTTTAAGTGTATTTATTCCCCTTCTTCTCTCTCAGTAAATCCTATACAGACAAGAACGAGTACATGGAAGAAAAAAAAATCTTTCATTTATCTAAAAGTAGAAGCTGAAAGGAGTTTTCCTTACCTGGTGAGAGGGGATTGCAAACAGGGCAAACTGAGCTAAAGTAACTGAGATTGCTCTTCATAAAGCACTTTGTTGCATTGACAGTATTGCCAAACCTGGCTTACTTCTCTAGAGCTTGTGTCAAAGCCCAGGGCCTTAAAGAGAGGATTTGGCTGCATGGGCTGTTCTCTGCAGAGAAGCTGCAGTACTCTGAGCCTTGGAATCAAATTTTACTAGAAAACAATCTGGAGTCCTGGTAGCCTAGCTTCTTTACAGCTTCTTTCCTGTGTTTTTTTTATATTCACCATGTTACCTCTCAGAGATCTGTCATGACCACTGAACTGCTAAAAGAAAGTGTTTTGCCTAAGGACGGTCTTTGGTACCAATGTTCCTTTTTGGAGAAGGTCAACATGCAACCCCTGTTGGGATACATGTTGTGACAGCCTTCGAGTACAGCACCTGCCTGGCTCAGTACAGGCATGAACAGCAATGTGTGCTCACCAGCATGGGTTATGCTAGCTCTGTGAAAGGCTGCTTTCCCAGCAGCTACAAGCACCTGCAGTATGTGTCCTGAGCTCCAAGTAGCAAAACTCTTTGTTTAGCTTCAGTGAGAGATATATCTCTGCTTACAAGACTGTCATAACCAACTCAATGTAATAAATATTACTGTTTCTCTCTTTCTTACACATAGCTGTCCCTGGACCTCTATCATACTGAGGATGATATCTACAAGCTCTCACTGGTGCTGGAACCAAGGAACTCCAAATCTGTAGGTCATCTTCTACTGCATTTTCACATATTTCTTATTTTGTCTGCTTGCAATTGGTTAGATTTTTAAATTACAATTAATGAGTTATCTTACTCCCTTTCACTTAAATTCTTCCAGTGCATATGCTTGTATAGTAAACACAGTCACTATTTATAGGTTTTAGTGCACATTGGAAGTAAGTAGTGAAACATGCCATACTTCATTTTTAAATCTTTTTCAATAAAATGTCTACAAGACATGGAAAACATAGTTCTGCTTTATGAGAAGATATCCTTTGTAAGTTTATATAAATTATTTATTATGTGACCATTGCTTCATTTTCTGGATGCTGGTGCAGTTATGTAAAACAACATCAAGTCCAGAGGTTTGGTTTAGGTAAGCCACAGCATTAGCTGTAGTGTTTTAAAAACTGTTTGCTTATGTAAAATTGCCTGAATCTTGGGCTCTCTAACCAATGTTTAAACACTTCAAAATAGATATTACTCTTTTTTTAGTATGTGCATCAACTGCATTGATGCTTTTTTTCATTATGCTTTACAAGTCTGAAGATGCAGATAAATATCTTAATTAATAGTTCAGTTTCATTTCAAGCATTACTCCCTCTTCTGTTGCCAAAGTCTGGGGACTCTTCTTCATTTCATCAGTGTATTAACATCCTTATTACTTATTGTATCCAGCATGTTGTTCTTTCAGGCTTGAGCCCTCTCAAGTCTGACACCAACAGAAACTAAGGGTGGCTGGAAATGCTTGGCAGCAGAGCGTGAGAGCAGAGTCCAGTAGACTGAGGTGATTCATTGCAGTGCTTTTTATGTTTCTGAAGTATTCTTAAAAGCAAGCAAGGAAGCAGAACATGTTATTTTTCAAGTATAGAGCTCCTCTTGCTTCAAAGATAGTTTATCACTCATGGAGACCAGTTTGAAGACGATGTGTGCTTTCAGTGGTGGTTGATGAGAAATAATTAGGAAGCTATTGAATATTTCCATAGTCAACACTAATTCAGTTTGAACACCTGGAATTTCATTAGAGTCTCTCAGCCTTGTTGGATATGATTTGACCACAACGATTCCCATTTATCACAATCACCCTGGCTCCCTCTTGCTCCCATTACTGCCAGCAAAGCTGATTTGTTACATCTCTGTGCTGTGGAAGGACTAGCGGGCCACTATGGTAAATGAAGAAAATTATTGCATTGATGCTTTGATCTCCAGCCTGAGCTTTAAGAAGGACCAAAGCTATATAAACAGTGCTGTGAACTTTAACACTACCCAGCAATTGTGAGAGGCTTCTGCACAACGATCAATGAATAACCAGTGACATTGAGCTGTCACAGCACCCTGATGGATAGAGAGATACAGCTGAATTGACAGAAGCCGGACCATTTGAGGCATCCTTCTCTTTGATGGAGTGCCAAAGCACACATGATATTTTAGAAGGGAAAGAATGTGTAGAGCTTTTGTATGTGGAAAAATATGTCAAAGGCAGTGTGACAGTGGAGTTACATCATTCCAGCTGCTCCTTGATTTATGCTGTACGGGTACAACTCCCATGCAGGTGCACTGTGGAGGAAGTGCCTCAGGATGCTGCAGTTGGTTTTGAAGCAGAAGTGGAGCTGATCTTTTAGCATGTGAGCTTGCTGTCAACAAGGACATGGGCAAGACTTTCACTCTACTAAAACTGGGAGGAGACTCTTCAGTCAGTGTAGCAACCTGAAAAAAAAAAAAAATAAGGAAGACTGGCCACCAGTTGTAGTATAGCATCTCCCTGTCACACTATCCTGTGTTTCCCTCTGCATTAGTTATCCTCTTGTTGGGAATTTTTACTAGTAAAGATACTGGGTAGAAGACAACTCAGCCTGGTGCAATTATGCCACTGAAGACATTTTTTTTTTCCTTGTGATTAGAATTTATTTCAATGCCAAAATACACAGATGCTTGCATCCATCTGAAAATGCTTTTTCAGTCTATGATACCATTATCTCTGTCATGGTGAAACAGATAGGAAATACAGGCTGAATCACAAAGAGCATGACCAGATACAGCATTTCTGAATGTTTAAGAGATTCGTCAAGGTAGTCTCTGGACACTGGTTAGTACCTTTGTTCATAGCATGCATTTCAAATACATAAATAAAATTCTGTTCGTTCATAAGAATCTGTGAGTGAAGTAGGAGGAACCAATAGTTCCCTTTGGGTAGTGGGCAATAACATGAAGTTTTCATTGCAACTTGTCAAATAAAACCATAAAAATCAAATGAGGCTTCAAATGAAATAGCTCAGGAGACAGAGGAAGGCTCCAGTGGATTTCATCTCTTTCTACTATTTTGCACTCAGACCAGCAGAAGTTAAAAGCTCTCTAAGTTAAGGAGTTAAGTAGTTAAGGAGTTAAAAGTGGAATCACTTACCAGCATGCTGGTCTATCACTGTATGATGATATTAATTTTAGGATTAAAGCATTCTGTAAGTACTTTTGGCATATAGAGCTGGATGTCCAGGTTCACTGTGTATCCTGTTGAAACTGAATTCTGTGGGTGCAGTGATTTTTTTTCTTCCTTAAACTTACCTGTGCAGATTTGTATGGTGAGTAAGAGCCATTGAGGAACTGATAAAAGCTGTTCTGACCATTGAATAAGGAAAGATCAAATGAATAAAGCAACCCACTGACACGTCCTTCTTTTTTTCCCTATCAAACGTAGTAGAGCATGACCTTGTGACCATTTTTCATCTCAGTGTCAATTGTCTACAATACCTTTGTTACACACAATAATTACATTTTTAGATGGCTTAATGATCTCCCTCTCAATGCACATCAGTTCATAGGTAGACAGATGGGACCCAAATTTCTTGCTCATCAGCTAATACAGGGGCCTTCTGAGGCTATAGGCCATTTCCCTTCTGATCCAAACCATGCTGAATTTTCTGCTTGACACTGTTTCTCTGGCAGCTGTCCAGTGGCAGATGCAGGAGAAGACCGGTACACCTTGCAGCATTTTTCCATGCTGTCTGGTGGTTTTTGAAGCCTTGCCTGAAACTGTGTTCAGGTTTGTCCTATATTTTCTTCTTAAAGAAGCCAAGTTCTGTACCAGAGCATCTCCCAGAGCACTGTAGTGGTGTGGAGGGAGTCGGGCTGCATGCTCTGTGCATCACATGAGCTGTCAACTACTGTTTCATCAGGACCAAGCTGTTTTCAAAACAAAACAGTCTGGCTAGTGTTATCTGGAGCACAAGGCTAGCCCCTTTCCGCTCAGGATGCCTAGATGAATTAAACTATGCATTCTGGCCTACTGTAAATTTACTCCTGACCCTGCCTGAAAAGATTTTGCTCTTGTTCCACTACAACATTGGCACTTCCCTGCCATGTTATCATAGTATGTCTTGGCTGGAAATCAGTGGGATGGCTGAGCAGAACTCTGCCCCTGCTTCTGCATCCTGCTCCTCTTCTTAGTGCCACACAGAGCAGGAGCATTAAATTATCGAGGTGGCCTCATAAGTCCCTCATGTGGCTTCTGGGCATGGTCTCTCTGGTAGGGAGTTGGGGCCAGGCTGCATCATGATGGCAAGTTCCTTGGGGGGCTGTATCAGGAAGGAGAAAAGCAGATTTCTGGGCTTGCCTATTTCTGATACCCACTGCATCCAGAGACCCTCCTTCCTTTCCCCTTCCTCCAAGCCTTGAAGCTGTTGAACCTTCTGGTGATGTCAGTGAGGAAAGTCTCCCTGGGTCTGCATCTGAGGTTGCTGGGTGCTGGGCACTGCCACTGCTGGCATAGCTGCAACGTGCCATGGAGAGCCCAACTGAAGCTGCTAGCAGAGGCAATCAACACTTTAAAACCTTTCCTGATGTTTTGCTAAGCACAGTTTTACAGCACGGGGACTCCAGTAGTCTGTGATAGTAGCTCTGACATACAGCTTTTAGCTGGAAATTCAACTTCATAATTCAGATTTTTAAATACTTGTGTTCTGATCCATCTCTCAGCAGCCTACCTCCCCAACAACCCCTAACAAGCCAGTAGTGCCACTGGAATGGGCATCTGGAGTGGTACCAAAACCTGACCCTACTGTCATTAACAAGCACATTCGAAAGTTGGTGGATGTAAGTATTTGGAAGAATATACTGGTCAAAGAGTATGATAGCTTTGGTATTGTCATAATTATAATTAATTTCAAGCTTTTCAGGAGACTGTTATGGTTGGGATCATCTTCAGACATGTGATAGCAAATCTGAGCTTTTACTGATACTTTCAGAAATAATTATTTTATTCCTGCAATCAGTGATAGAATTAGTTAGCAGCTTTCTCAATACAAAGGAGCAAGCTTTCAGGATTGTCCAAAGCCTGGATGCTGTTCAATACGTTCAATTAACAAATATAAATTCAGAGGGCAAAGTGGAGTTTTTGCATCTTTTGTCACCCTGTTGATGTCTGGTAACAGACAGCTGGAAACAAAAATGATCTCTAGGGTCCCTTCCAACCTAGGCCATTCTAGGATTCTACAAATAGGTCCAGAGAAGGTTTCCCAAACCACTATTCCTGTTTTTCAACTTGCTGTCATTTAACTGTTCAGAGCATACTATGTGTGGTAAAGAAAGCACTGTCTTGGTATCACTTCAAAAATCTGGGCATGAAGTCATGGAGAATTACAGCTCGGATCTTCCAGCTTCAGTTTGGAAGGTTACATATTAGGTAATGCAAACAAAATCAAACACTACTAGGTTCTTTTGGAGATATTGAGCCCTGTTGTGTTGCTGTGCAATGCACTTCTTTTATTGATGTGAGCAGCATGCATATGAACCAGGAATGTGTTGTAACTAATGAAGCAAGACTTCCTTCTGACTTTTACAAATTAATAACCAAGTCTAGGAGGAAATATTAAATTCTGACCTCATTTGTGTTACAGGACATTAATTGGGGTGATGTTGTTAAGACAACTTAAAAAAAGTCTTCAGTTCTCTCACTCAGACTTCAAATCTAGCTTGTGGTTTACTTTTTGTACATGCTCTTTTTAAAAAATAGAGTTTCATTTTTCTCTAAATGAGTTATGCCAAAACTGCACATCCTTTTCCTGTATTGCTTTTGTCAGTGCCATGTCTTCATAAAAATCATGTCATATCCAAGTCTCTCTTTGATAACTTGTTTTAAATGGGAAGTGTGTCACAACTCCTTAATCTTTGCAGAATGTGCTGGATGGGGGGTTATTCTTGCTTCTGAGGGTGGGGGAGATACAGTCCCCTATTGCACAATTTTGGCCTTGTTGAGGATGTATGTTCTTGAATTTGACAGGATTAAAGTGTGTTTTGGGGCTGTTATGGGTACAGCTTATCAATAGGCCTCCACCACACTGTACAACTGTCTTCATTTTGCCAGTGTTTGTCATTTATAGGCTGCTTTCAGTTGTGCTTTAAGTTATTTGTTTTATTACTAAAAGTGTAGAATACTGCTTGGGTTTGGGTATTGGTTCCTTCTTGATAATGTATTTTTGAGGTCTGCCAGTCATCAGTTACAGGTCATTTGGTAAGTATTTAAGAATTGGCTTCGTCATGTTCTTGTTAAAACGAGGACAATGCAAGTGCCTTTCAGAGGTCTCAGGATATTAAATTCTTGTCTTTGTCAACCAAATCTTAATTTAGTGAGAGAGCTTGTGCTTTAGTGTGTATCCTTCAGATAGTCATGTTGACATGCATGTTTTTTCCATCTTACTTAGCGGTGAACTGGGGTGGGTTGATGGGAAGAAATGTTGTTAGATAAAAAGTGCTCATGATCTGGATCTCAAAGTATTAGTAAACAAATCAGATTGAAACAGTAGTGTGGCAGAACTGAGGTGGCCAACTAAAAAGTGAAGCTAAAACCATCTGGAATACTCATGGGAACTGTTGTTGGGTTGTTGGAGTTTTTTTCTCTCTTACTGTGATTAAAAAGCATATTTAATGAAGCAAAGGGAATACATCACATGGGACAGAATCTTACTGACATTTCCAGTAAAGCAAGAATAATTATGTCTGAAGAAGTGTAGAGGATGATCACTAGATAAATACTGAAGTCAACTTTTCTTTTCAAATTAACCATTTTTCCCCCTACAGTCCAATAAATATGCATATTCAAGTATCACGTAGGAATAAAAGGAATAAAACAAGGCAGTAGAGCATCTGATTAGTAATGTTAAACATTAAGTTACATGTAATTATAAGACTGAAGAGCTGGTATAGATTCAGAATAGGCTAGATGTTAGGACAATAATTTTTTTTTTTCCCAGTCTGTCTTTAGGAACTATGATCATGACCACGATGGCTATATTTCTCAGGAAGACTTTGAAAGTATAGCTGCCAACTTCCCATTTTTGGACTCTTTCTGTGTACTGGACAAAGATCAGTAAGTTTGGAGATTTCTTTGTGATTTTTTTTTCTTTTCCTTAATTTAAAACCTCATGAAAACAGAATATTGAAGAAACAGTGTTTCCCAAACTTCTCATGTCTGACAACACACTTAAGGAATCGAAGATCTCTGAAGGCTTAACTCTGTTCTGAACTTCTTCTGCTGTAGTTTGTTCTATAAGCTCACCTAGGCTGGCACCCTGCTTTCGGGGACTGAGTAAAACCCCTAGAGTACCATAAAATTACAGTGGAGATGCTGTACCCAGACCAGGCATCAGACTGATGAAACAAATAGATTTTGTACAGGACAGAAGAAATGAGTGTATGTAGCAGAGTGAGGGTAACAAATATTCAAGGAACTATTTTCCTGGCCAGTTGGGCTTGATAATTTATGTTGCCCAGACTCATTTCATTTGTCAAGGCTGGTGGTCAGCCACAGATGTAATTGTTTGGTCTATGTGAGCAGTTAAGTCAAGATCTTTCACTTAATGGCCTGGTCTGTGCTCTGATACCATGAACTGGTGAGAAACCAAGGTCCATGTTACAAGTTCAGTGTTTGTTGTTTAATGAAGGATAAGAACCACAAAGGTTCTAAGGGTTTTCTTCTTCCAGGACTGTTGCATCTCTTTCAAGGAATGTGCTTTATGTGCTACATGTTTTTTGCATGGAGAAAATCCTGAACTGTTCAGTGCCGTGAGCAGTGACATGTCTACTCTACTTTCTTTTTCCCTGACAGAGATGGTCTTATAAGCAAAGAAGAAATGATGGCTTATTTTCTGAGAGCTAAATCACAGTTCCAGTGTAAAATGGGACCTGGGTTTATTCATAACTTCCAGGAAATGACCTATCTTAAACCAACTTTCTGTGAGCACTGTGCAGGATTTGTAAGTATGTCTTTAATACTAGTATATCTTAAACACAGTTTCTTACCACAGAATCACAGAACACTAGGGCTTGGAAAGGACCTCAAAAGATGATCTAGTCCAACCTCCCTGCTAGAGCAGGATCACCTAGATGAGGTCACACAGGAACAGGTCCAGGCAGGTTTTGGATGTCTCCAGAGAAGGAGACTCCACAACCTCTCTGGGCAGCTTGTTCAAGTGCTCTGTCACCCTCACCATGAAAAAGATTTTCCTTATGTTTATCTGAAACCTCCTATGATTCAGCTTGTACCCATTGCCCCTTGTCCTATCACTGGATGTCATTGAGAAGAGCCTGGCTCCATCCTCCTGACACTTGCTCTTTATGTATTTATAGACATTAATGAGGCCACCCCTCAGTCTCCTTTTCTCCAGGCTAAAGAGACCCAGCTCCCTCAGCCTTTCCTCATAAGGGAGCTGCTCCACTCCCTTAATCATCTTAGTGGCTCTGCGCTGGACTCTCTCTGGTAGCTCCCTGTCTTTCTTGAGCTGGGGTGCCCAGAACTGGATACAGTGCTCCAGGTGGGGCCTCACCAGTGCAGAGTAGAGAGGGAGGAGAACCTCCCTTGAACTGCTGGCCACGTTCTTCTTCATGCATCCCAGGATACCATTGGCCTTCTTGGCCGCGAGGGCGCATTGTTGGCTCATGGTCATCCTCTTGTCTACCATGACTCCTGGATCTTTTTCCCCAGAGCTGCTCTCCATCAGATCAGCCCCCAACCTGTACTGATACATGGGGTTGTTCTTCCCCAGATGCAGTACTTTACACTTGCCCTTGTTGAACTTCATTAAATTTCTCCCCTCCCAGCTTTCCAGCCTGTTCAGGTCACACTGGATGGTAGCACATCCTTCTGGCTTGTCAGCCACTCTACCCTTTAATGTAGAGAGGGTAAAAGTGGTTCCACACGTTTCTAAAGTGTCTTGGCCAAGTATCTTATTGCATTCAGAAGCACAAAACTTTTACTCATGTTGTAGCTGTGCTATCCAGTTTTGGTTTAGTGGCATTTGTAAGAATTATTGTTGCAGGGGGAAAAGTACAAAATTACGTTAGGTAAAGGATATTAAAGGCTATATGAATGGCTGTACTTGGTTTGTCTTAAGTTCTTTAATTTGGCTTGATTTCCCATGTAAACAAGCTCAAGGGAAAACGGGTGTCTGGAACAGAGGATGTGGATGAAGCAAAAGCTGTTCTTTCTCAGGAAATTGCACATGGCAACATAGCTATGCTCATAATTCTCTGAGTGGCCTCAACAGCCTTAATCCTTTCTCTACTGAATTAAAGATTTTAATTTGGTCAAGAAATCAAAAGCACTTTCAGCAGCTCTGTACAATAACAAATTTTTAGATTTATTTGGTTTTTATAGTTAAAATTTACTTTTTCTCTCAACTATAACCTATCAGATGCTCTGCACATAACTAGGAAATAATTTGGTTTGTAAACATCAGTGTTGCTTGTAAACTTCCTCTAACTTTTCCACTTTAAACCAAGTACAGTAAAAAAAAAATTAATTACTATGATTTAAAAGTTACTTGAATGCAGACACCCCACTGAAATCAAATGCCTACATTTAGACAGCTAAAGCAATAAAGGCAGAGGGCCATGACTTCTGCCTGTGTGCAACCCACATACAGGGTATAGACTCAGACTGTCATCCCTGCTCTCCAGCACAGATCTCCCTCTGTTATCGGCAGCAAAGTCTCCAGCTTGTATTACATGAACTTTTCCACTAAGTAATATTTCTTTGTGGTTGAAAGTAAGAATAACTGCGCTGCTAAGTGCAAAACTGTGCCTCCTTTCAGAGCAGCTCTGCTGTTCCTGTTCTTATCCACACTCCTGTCATCTTCCACTCACTTCTTTTGTGATATGTCGGTTTTATTCGGCTGCTCGTGGTCCCTATCACAACTACTGATCAAGGCCATGGGGAGTAAGGAATTCCACCTATTTCCCCTAGAACTGCAAGAACCGTGGAGGTGACATGGTCAGTGCTGATTCAGGAGCGTGCTGGTGGGCGCCTGGGCTGACAGCTCCAGCAGACTGATGGGGTGGGGACAGTCGCTGCCCTGAGCCTATTGTTTCAGGCTGCCTGCAGCCTTGGGAAGACGTCACTGCGTTCGTGACACTCGGTTCATGTTTGGAAGGCTTCCAAAGCAAAGCGAGACCTGAGGACTGCTCTGTAATGTCCTCTCCACCAGATATTTTTCTCCTGCATCAGTTTGCTAATCGGCCAACGTTGGATGTTTCACATCTCTCTGATTACATCCAGTGCAGGAATACAAATGAGTAAGGGGTTGTACAGGAAATGGAAATAAGGTCATTTTTCCTGTCAGCTCACTGAAGTCACTTGCATTGTCCTGTGGATGAGTTGGGCTGATAGGACAGGAACCAGCTACAAAATCTGCTGTGTATTTGTTCCGCATTTCAGTGCTGCCCATCCCAAGGTGGAAACCAAATTTCAAACTGATGCACTGATTCACAGTCAAAACAATGTGCAGCGACAGTGCAGCAGGATGAATTGATGTGACAGTGCAATGCATGCAATATTCGATAAACTATCTGTTATTAAAACAACGCAAACTTTAAAGGTCAAGCTAAAACCTAGTGCCATTAAGCAGCACAAAATTGATATGCCCATGGCTGGTCACAGTTCCGCCCCACATCTTGAGTTGCACCACACAGCAGGGTAAGTGACCAGCCACCCCACTGAGCACTGATCCTCTTGCCTTGGAGCTGGCTCAAACCAGCTTTGCAGGAAAGCTATATGTCAGACAGATTCAAAGCTTTGGGTCAGAATTTGTGATATGGCACTTCAGCTAAGCTTTCACTGAGGTGTGTAACCACACCGGTGGTGCTAAATTTGAGTAGGAGGAAGGTACAGAGCTAAGAAGGTGATGAGGAAGTTCTTCAGTGGGAACACATTACAGCTTAAATGAAAGGAATAGCAATTCATACCTCTTACAGTGATCCTGGTAAAAAAAAAAAAAAACTGGGAAAAAAAGTCATTGCTGCTCTTCCAAGAGGGTCTGGGGGCTCCATTGTTGCTGCCTGACCACAGCAACTGCATTCACTGTGCATTATCTACAGCATTAGCAGGAAAAGAGAAAGCAGGATTGCTATGGACCATTCTTCCACTGTTGTCCCTTCTGTTCTTTTATTCAGTGTTTTTCCACCTTATCTAATCTATCTTGCTTTCTCCAAGCACACATTTTTCCTTGCAAATTCTTTTGTGCAGTGCACAGGATTCTCGCCCCCCCCCACCCCCTTCCAGAATCTTCCTATCCTGCCTATTTTACTCTTTGCGTGCTGAATGTTCTCCAGCTCTTCCTTTTGAACATTTCTTTTTAATGACCCTATTCACCCTCTGCACACTGTGCATGGATTCTTATGAACATGGTGAGGAGCCACATGCAGTTTCAACTGCCTGGATGTGCTCACCCTCCCTGGTAATGTCTCAAATGAGTTCAGGATAAATAAACACTGGGGGTCTTTATTTTTTTCCTTTAATGCTAGTGCTAGAAAAACTGTCCCTTCCTCTCTCTCTGCCTCTCAGCATGAAAATGCTTGTTTATATAATGCCACGGCTGTAGGCACACTACTTCTGAGTGTGTAGATAACAATGTGCTAGGGAATTTACCTAATTCCAAGCAATCTAGCTCATGTTGCAGCAAAATCTTCCAAAAGGTGGGATCACACACATTGCCTCCTGGAAGTTTAGCATTTGGTTGCTATGTACATCAACAAGGACAACTCTCAGAGGAGGTAGAGATGGAATTTAGTGCCAGTCTTCAACCTTTTTTTTTGAAGTGGAAAGAATCAGATTGCTATGGCTAGGTGTGCTGGGGACCGTAACGGGAACCAAGATCCACATTTTTATCCCCAGTGGTGTTCAGTTCTGTTGTATTTGAACGTCATGGGTCATTTGTGTATCTGGAGAATGGATGTACACTGGAAATTCACTCACAGATAATCTGAAGTGAGCCTAGAAGCAGAATGTGCTCTGCTGGTGTCAGCAAGCTTGATATGACGGCAATTTTGCAGCTGTTCCTGAAAGCAAATGTGATCTGTGTCTCCTTCTCTGGTAGTCCCACTGTAAGTAGTAGAAATAAGGGGGAAGCCACATAAGTCTTATCACAATTAGAGGGGGAGGTCTGCCTAACAGGAAGGGTGTTAAGAGCAGTTGTATCCTGTTTGTGCTTTTGTAGCCATTGGTACTTCCTCATTGCGACCTTGTTTTCCTTCCGGCTCTCTTTTCTGATTCCTTGACGTTCTTTTGTCTTTCTTTGCAGCTCTGGGGTATAATCAAACAAGGCTACAAATGCAAAGGTAAATAAATATTGCATGGATTTTTTCAAGCTACGGGTGGTGGGGTTTAGCACAAGTAGGTCAACTGCATTTTTTACTAAAATGACATTTGTTCATCCAAATCTTGCTTGTACACTTGTTACCATGCGGGACCAGTGACTGCTGGCACACTATGAAATCTCACTGCATTAGGTGACATAGCACCCAGCAGGAACACACAGGTTCTGTGTCCTAAAAGTCAAAAATAGCCATTGACTCCATGAGGTGTCATTCTACCAGCAAAGACCTTGCATCTTGGAAAAGCAAGTGTCCTCATCCTAACACTAAGACATCCTGAAATAATATATCTTGTGAGACCTGGGGTCAGGAAAAGGTCTGTCATGTACATCCTCATGTGGTAGTGAAGCCTAACTGGCCTTGCAATGCAATAGTGGCCGAGCTAGAAATAGAGATCCTGTTGCAAGCTCTTCTTCAGACATTCAACTTTAAAAAAAAAAAAAACAAAAACAAAAACATAGAGCTCTTACAACCCTTGCTGGTGTTTTCATAAAATGTTTGTTTTCTTATGCAGTGCTTGCACCATATTGAGCAGGACAGACAAAGAAGGACATTGTGATGATCCTCACTGAGCTTTAAACTCCTGGACCTATTTATTTCTCAAGCAGGCCAGCTCTGTCTGAAGGACACCGTTGATTTTTGCAGTTGTAGTTGCACAGGGGAACATTGAAGCTGGGCCTTCATATTTGTATTTATATGCACTCTTCCCTTAGTCTTACACTGGCTCCCAGAAGAAGGGTGAAGAATTGGCAGTATTGGTTTTCAGGATACACCATATCTTTCCTTGAATCCTGTTTGTGGACTTCTCTCCATGCATGAACACCTCTTCCTCAGAGAGGTGTGGGGAAAATGTCCATGGCTAAACCAACGTGTGTAATTCAGCTATTCCTGATTACCGTCATCTGAGCAGCTACAAAAGGGCTAGCTGCAGTCTGTACTTTTACTGATAGGATGAGGGAAGGAAAATAGGGTTTTGTCACAGCAGACCTGTAAATTCAGCTTGAGAGCTGAAAGCTGAGCTCTCTTCTGCATCATTGCTGTTAACAGTGGCCTAGTGGAGAAAGAGCAAGTGTTTCTGCAGAGTCAAAATTATAGGCAATGGAGCATGACAGTAAGAGCAGAGCTGCTGGGTTAGCTCTTAAAGTGGTCAACAACTGTAATTGGTGCCTGGCCTTTGCTGCAGCAGCTACCAGCTGCTCCATATTTTCAGTATCACTAGAGTGCTGCACCTATTATGGATGATTTCTGCCTCTGGCAGACCTGTCATCTTCTCTTTTGAACCTCTGACACTGCTAGCAGGAGAAGGAAGGGAGTTCATCTCTCCAGGTCTGCTGCTTACCCCAGCACTGTGGATAACAAGATAAAGCTAGACCCTGTGGTCCACAAGTGATGAAAGAGGTTCTCCACTGCCAAGAGAGATCATTATTGTATTTGGAGTGGATGGGTCGCTACCTCTAGGGCAGACAAAAGAACTGGTCAGGTATTTCTATGGTAGTCATATGAACAAGGTACTGGGAGAAACTAGAATTTCACCCAATAAGCTAGAGCTGCTGCCCTGCACAGAGTGGCTCTTTTAGCAGAGAGTTATAAACAAAATGCTTTGGCAATGGCTCACCTAGAACAAAGTGCTAGATCATGGAGCAGCAAGAGAGAAACAAGGGAGAAGGGAACTTTCAAACAAGGGCAAGGGACACAGGGGAAAGACAGATTGTTTGGGGCTCATACCCTCCACACTTAGCAAGAGAGAAACAAGGGAGAAGGGAATTTTCAAACAAGGGCAAGAGACACAGGGGAAAGACAGACTGGGGCACATACCCTCCATACTGTGGCTTTTTCTTGCAGATAATATTGGTACTGCCATCGTACTTCAGATAAATGTACCTAGTGATGAGCAATTTATCTGCAGTGGTGCAAAGCCCAGCAGAGGCTAGGAGTGCAGAGGTTCATCCAGGTGGATGATACACACCCACAGAGCTTACTCTGTGCTGATGTTTGCTGAGCTACCACTTAGACTAGTTTTAACCTACAGTGGTCTACACTGACCTCCAGCTGTACTCCTAGAGGCTAAGAGGATGGACACTACAGTGTCTTCTGACCAAGTGTTTACTATAATGGGCCCCAGGTCAAAGAAAAAAAAAGCAAACCTACATTTTTTTGGAGACTCATGAGGTGGAGCAGAAGCTTTATGCATGGCATACACAGGATCTTACCAGTAATTCCAAGTCTCTTCCTTGAGAATAATTTATGATGAAAATATCATCCCCCTCTTCCCTTCTGCTGCCAGATTTCTATTAATGACTGCCATGAAAATGATCCAATTTTTATAACACACTTCACACCAAATGATCCATTTCTGTAACTCATTTCACACCTGTCAAAGTATTTGTTCCTTCAAAATCCCTCCTGTTATCTGCCTGCCAAAAGCCCTGAGAGATTACCAAATAGTTGGGGGTTTCCATTTGGTGACTTGGCAATTCCCTTCTTTACAGATTGTGGTGCCAACTGTCATAAGCAATGCAGAGACCTGCTTGTGCTGGCATGCAGGAAATTTTCCAGAGGAACCTCAGTAGGCAGCAACCATGGCTCTCTGCCTAGCAGTCCATCTCTGCCTCCAGGTGAGAATGCCTTTGTTCCTATTTTAAACCATATTTCTACCTCCTGTCTAAAGAGGAATCCTCTCTAATGGACAGGGTCCTTGCTGCCATTTTTAATTTTTCCTTTGTGTCAACGCACACAGCAGCACACTTACTTTCCACTGCACTGGGGCTTGTGTTCAGTGCTCCCAGTGCAACCTCCCTTTCCACAGTGATGGCCTCACTCTCCTGCCTGAGGCTCCCTACCCTCTGCAGTGGCACCTCTATCCCATCTGAAATGAAATAAAATCACAGTCAGGGAAGTCATACTGCTCTTTACGAGCCACCTAGGGGCAGGAACTGAGAGATAGAGGACACAATTCTAGCTCTGCCCTATCCCCTGAGTGTGCAGATGAAGGCAGATGGAAACGTGCACACTCAAGGCCAGAAGCACTTTCCAAGCAGCATATGGATATTGTTAATTACACAACTGCTTCATATAGGGGGTTACCTCCCTCCCCCAGGCTGAAGGTATCTTTTTGTAAAGGTCTTGAAGTAGAATATTTAAAAAGACCGATTCTATCCTCTCTTTCAGTCCAGGATGAAGTATTTGAATTCCCCAGTGTTGCTGCAGAACACCAGGACCTTGATGGCAGAGCTATCACCCTTGTCACTGGCTCTTCACGGAAAATTTCGGTGCGGCTGCAGAGGGCGACCACCAGTCAAGCAACACAGACAGAACCACTCTGGCATGAGCCAGGCTGGAATGATTCAGGTTCCCATACTTTCCCCAAAATGAAGTCCAAGTTCCATGGCAAAGCTGGGAAGAACAAAGGCTTTGCAAAATGGGAGAACGAAAAGCCCAACGTGCAGGCTGATGTAGAGCTAGAAGGTGAAGACCCACAACACATACAGGATCACAACGGAATAGAAACCCTCCTAGAAAGACAAGAATCTGAGGTGAGTTGCAGATGCAGCTTAAAATCTTCTAGAGTCTGAGGTCTCATAAGGTTATTTTATGAATTTCAGGCTACTTTTTCATTCAAATTTGTCATTGCTTCTTTCTGAAGAATGCCAAATCATCCACAGGTATATATTTTGTCCACTGCAGCATGCCTTTACTCTAACTGTGACTGGGTTGTCTCTTGGTGTCAGTATGTGCTTTTAAGAGCTGGCCACTTTTCTTTCTTTCTGGAAAATTATTAAACCAGCCTGGTAGACACCTGACTAGGTTCTGTGCTGTTGTACCTTTGCAATGCACAGTTCCAGGCTCCATGTTAGAGTCACAAGGATTAGCATTCTGAGAAAAGCACAAGTCCAGGCTAAGGCAGGATAATGGTCTGATTTCTGTTGTTGTCACCCATAAAGTTTATACTTCGATGGCCTCATGCTTTTATTGGCCAACTTTGCTAGTGTGTAAGTGCCTATTTTCTTTTGGTCACAGGATAGCTGATTGCTCACCCCGAAGCACAGAAAAATGAAGATGACAAGTGTAATACAACAAGCCTTGATGGACTGTCACAGACCACGCTGGGCCATGAGAAGTTTTCCTGTACCTCGTATTTTTAAATTCAGCTATTGCCATGTTTTCTTAGCTGAAAGGTGTTACAAAGCACTATTTATTTTCTCATGAGAAAGCCACTTGGATGAACACTGCACGGACACAGCAGAACGGATCTCTGTGCTCACTGTTTTCTCTTGTATGACTTTTGTGGAAACTTCCTCTACATGGCTGTGAGGATATATTTGGCCTCCTTTAACTATACTGCATCATTTTGGTGTGTCTGCCAGCAACAACAATGGTGAGGACAGAAGCCAAGTATCTAAGTTTGTACGATAACACTCCTTTTCCAGAGGCTTGTAATGATCTTTTAAGGAAAGAAGTAGGTGTGTATTTTGATTAAATCTCAAACAAAAACCTTTCACGAAGTCCCATATGCTGAAATTCTTTGCACACCTGGAGTTCTGACTTTTGGCTGTGTTTACATTGCTACCGTGAGCATATTGGTGTTCAGCACAGTAATAACAGTTCCCAGACTGGGGCTCCTTCAACAAGGGAGCACGTGGCTGAGACTGAAGGAATTCCAAGACACTATGCATTTGTCTGGTTACACCTCAATGGACAGGGGTCATCTCTGCCAGCACTGATTATGGTAAAATTAGCATGTAATAAACATCTTAGTTTTAAGTGTGTGTGTTCATCTATATGTGTGTATGTGATACATTTTGCTCTGGTTAGCAGCCTGTACATGTACTGAAGAGCAACGCCCAAATTAGCTGTTTGCCCATGTAAGATCAAGCACCTGAATCTGTCATGGCCTGAGAAGCAGGTTTGAAGTGACATTTCTCAGAAGCAGCAAGTTATTTAAGGAGCAGAGGCCTCATCTGGAAAAAAACAAACAAAACATGAAAGCACAAAGCTCAAACCTGAAAGATGTGTCCCAAATTGGCATACGCATTTTGTTGTTCTTTCCCCATCTCCCTACAAAAACGGCTGCATGTGGGAAGCACACACTCTGAATTAAAGCAATGCAATTATAAGGTTTCCTACAAAATACAAGTCATCACACCCTTCATCAAGTTATAAGCCCTCATGACCAGACAGTGATTTCATAGACCTAACCAAAAACAGACAGCTGCACTCCTCTGTGGTAACTTGACTGCAACCTGCACTGTGACTCCATGATGCCTGCTTAGATTCGCATTTTGAATGCTCCACGTTTCCTTTGTTTTCCAATGCAACTAGTAATTAAAGATGCTCTTACTGCTTTAAACCCAAGAGAAATAAGCACTGCAGCAAGAGCACCGATTTCCAGGCTAGGATGAGGGCCAGAAACATTCCTCATTTTTACTGCTCTGAGCAAAGAACAAGCACTGTAAAATTATGGTCTTTATTTCCTGTGGTGGGTCAGGTGACAGGTCACAACAGGCTGACCACACAGCTACCGTTGCAGCGCAGGGCTTGCACACAATGGAAATGATGTGGTAGAGAATTTGAATAGAGAAATTTGGTTACGATCCAGGCTCTTGATGGATCTACTGAGATAAGCCTTTTAACGCTTTTTAAATGAAATGTTCCTGTGCAACCTCACTCTTAACATCATGTAGGAGTTTTAACTAGCACTTAGTCTTTAGACCCCAGCCCATTTCTTGCAGGCTTTCACAAGTTGTAGCTCTTGCTCTAAAGGGTACCTGCTTTCTTATTTCTGTCAAGCCCACAAATCATGCCTGTGTTAATTTCACTGTTGGACAAGAATGTACATACATAATCATAGTAACACATAAAATTAAGTATGCGATATGTATTATCTTCTCACTTGCCTATTCTCCAAGGTACCCAACGAGCTTCTTTCCTAAACTGGTTAAAAAGGTAGGTACTCCAAGTTCTTCAGAGAGGAACACAAGCCACAGACCTATGTTTCTCAGGCCATTTCAAGACCACATTTTTTTCCATGTATACTGTAATCAAAGCATAGACTCACATTTAAGCAAGAAACGGGATGCCTTCTACAGCACAGCTCCCACACAGGAGGACAATTCTGCTGGCAGTCGGACTGCTTAAGTTTCAACCCACAGCAGAGATTTCATCAATGCATCTCTTGCAAGCTTGGTTAGATGCTTACCTCAGCAGCAGCTGTAGATCAAACAGACTGCAGGCTTACATGCCCAATCCTTCTAAGCAAAATACTGCAGCGCCCAAGGAGAAAGACTCATGCTAGGTGAAACTTTCAAGCACCTGCTCCTAGTGGAAACCTTTGCTGTAGGCATTTCAAGAAGGGGAACATATCAAGCATGTTGCTGGCATTAGTGTTTGAGACCACTTGAGAACTTGAGAAAAAGACACTGGGTAGAAATAGTCTTTTTTCACTATCACCAGACTGCCCCCAGAAGAGGAATAGACTCAGATGATGTAGTAATTAAAAAAAAAAAAAAAAGCCCTAACAGGCTGTTTGCAGTGGAACAATCTAGTTCCACAGCAAGCACCTGAGAGGGGAGAGCTGACAGGGCACAAACAATCATTTTAAGAATTTGCTATAAGATGAGCTCTTTACCTTGAAGGAGGCCTGAATATATTAAATGTAAAAATGTTTTTCACTTCTTACTTCAAGTTTGACATCTTATTCTGAACAGGGGCAAGACTTGCCCTCACCTCACAAAACTAAATTGATTAATTTTAATTCCCCGATGTAGGCAAAGCAACAAAGAATTTCTTGGTTTTCTCCCCTGACTTAACAACAAATCATCAGCCATCACAATTCCTGACTGAGCTACATGCCTCTGCTGGATGTGGTGAAATCCTGCCTGCTAGAAGTAGAGCGATTCCAGGAGAATGTCTAGGAAAAAAAGGTGTCATAAAGACAAGAGTACTGGATTAATGAAGTAGCTAAAGTGATGATCCAAATGATGCTGGATACTTCCACCACACCCTTTCTTCCCTGTCTCAGGATCATTAAGACACTGGAGGAAGAAGGAGAGGATTTAAAAAAAAAAAAATCCACGCAAACATCACACAGTGGAAAGATGGGAGATCAAGCCAAACCTTATTTACAGCCTGATCTACCAATGCCAAAGAATACAAGCAACAGGAGTAGGTGAGTAAGGCAAGTGCTTGGACAGACCCTGTACACACTGATATAGCTGTTTAAGCCAAACCCATCAGGACTTTCCGTGCTTGTGTAATACCTCTGCAAAGCCTCAAGCTGCAAATAAGGGAGCTTCAGCCTTGCTGTCAGTTTTATGGAGCAACCCCGAGTGCTACACAAGGAGCCTAGGGGACATCCAGCTGCCTTAGAGTAAAATGCAAAACTGGGCTTGAACTGCAGCTTTCTGCTCTGCTCTATTTCTCCTCAGAGTCTCTGCCCCCTTAGACTTGTTCAGATCTTGGGCTTTAAAAGAATAATCCCAGCTTCACAAAGAAACAAATTCCTAGACACAGTCTATCTTCTCAGAGGCACTTTCCTCAAGCAGTTGAAGACAGAGGGGGGGAGGTGGGTGGGACAGTAATATGCTTGCTGACCAGAGCTAGTCTGAAGCATGGATTTTCCCTAGCTGGGAGAGGTGGACCATTTTCCTTTCAGTATAGAAGAAGATAAAAAGCTGAGCTGCAGAGCAAGTTTAGAAGCAGCTGCTGCCTAAAATTTTACATTTTCCAAAATGGGAGGACTGGATGCTGTCACCTCTGTAGACTGTTGCTTAGGGACTCCTCTGTAGAAACCAAACTGAAGGCATGCCCTAACACAGCCCCAAGGTTTTCCTCATGGGGAACCTGAAAGCCTTTGGTTGTGACAGTCTGAGCAGCCACAGGATGGTCCTCGCAGCCAGGGACATTAGTTCTAGAAGCTTTAGGCCTCTGTATGGGAAATAGCTGCATGTGAAAGATCCTGAACACAGGCGAGGAAAAAAAAAAAAAAAAACCCAAACAAACAAACAAAAAATCAGAACAAATAATAGAGGGGAAGTAAGCGTGGGAAAAAGCGTACTATGAAAGTTCTCCCTCCGTACGTGACACCAAGAATGGAAGGAGATCCCAATGGAGACTGAGCAGAGGAGGAAGGAAGGAAAAAAGAAAGGAGATCTGAATGCAGATTTCATGGAGACATAAGAGGCAGGAGAAACAAGGGCTTGTTGTTTCATGATCATCATAGGAGAAAAAAAAAAAAAAAACACAACCCAAACTGTTAACCAAGGCTTGCTTCATTCAGCATCAGCCTGCTAACTGATGGGCCTCTGTACAGCACAAAAAATAGCTCCAAGTACTTCAAGAGAGTTTTGACAACAGAGTTGGCCCACCCAGGGCCATCGGAGAAACAGATGTAACTTTGGAACAAGTTTTTGAGTTATCAGCACTGATCTGAACTGGATTTCCAAAATAAGCACTGTAGCCAACAGGCTAAGCTCATTGGAAAATCTGTGTGCTGAATTCTAAAGTGCTGTTTACAGCTGCTGACAATCTGGTCCTCAGAGACAGAAAAGCCATCAGCAAAAGGCTACTGCTGGGGCAGTATGAAATTTAGCCAAAAAGTCTGTTTTTTCCATGAGTTAAGCTAATGCCGGAAAGTTTAAAGAGTCCTTATCACCTTCATCTCTGCTTCATGTGTGAAAACGAGTTACGACCTTCCACCTGCCCACAGCACAGGCAGACTCCCTCTTTCTTTGGTTTTACAATAGTGTTTTCCTACTTTTTGTACTTGTTTTTCTCCCCTCTGTTGTGGGAAAGACCCACGTGGACAAGAGGGGAAATTACTGGACAATAAAGGGGAAACAATGACACTGACAGCACTCAGAGCTGTAACAAGCAAAAAGTAAACACAAAGGAAAAATATTTTTTCCCTTCTATTCTTGTTTGTTAAGCCATTAAAGGTATGACTTATTTTCAGCCAGAGGGGAGAAGACAATGTTTACAGCCCTTAATTGCAGTTGCTTTTTCAGTTTGTCCCCCTTTGAAAAGGCATAACCTGAAACAAACAAGCAGGGGAGTATTTTGAGAAACTACACAGGGGAAACAGAAGTTCACATCCACCTCGGTGAACTGTTCTCCGATCACAACACTGGTGTGACTAACCCAAGGAGGCTGATAAATCAAGCTGGGTTTAGTGTGAGCCAGCCTGAGACAGCTAAATCATGCTCAACACCTCAAAATGCGTACACACTTCTGCAGCATCCCTGTTGGCCAAGGAAAATCAGAAGTTCTGAGAGGAAGCAAGATCACAAGCCCGACAGTCTTTAGCAGCAGCAACATCCAGATTCTCTACTGCAGTCCTAAATGTGGCAGGACTAAGAATAAACCTTCTGCAATGAGCAGAGAGTTGAAGGCTTTTGTGTTCTGTCTTTCATTAACCTAACAGGGAGATGAATTTACTTCTAGCACTCTAAGAACCCATGAGCCTTCTGGACACCCAAGTCAGTCGTCAGATCTTAGTGAGAACCCTCTTGCTCTCCAGTCAGCTCTTCCCACTTCAGCACGGCTTAATTTTCATTTCCCAGGTGCATAACCCATTACAGGGATTACTCTTACACCACAGGACTTTTCAAGCTCCAGCCACTTCTCGTAACTGTCTACTGACATGAATCTTGCCTCCCTCTTTTTCTCAGTTCTATCTTAGGTACTCGACTGGTAAGTGTCTAGTTTCTGATCAGGCCAGAGGTTGGTTGAGGCACTTGACACTTTCATTAATTCAAATGCAAACAGCAGTTTAATGGAGACACACAGTCAAAGGCTCCACCTCTTTAAGCTGGTTAACCACACGCTCCGGCTTAGAAGTCTAACCCGCAGCTAGAGGAGCTCCTCTAGGGGCTACCAGCTGTCATGGCACATCACCATGAAGCTGCACACTTTGGGGGTTTGACTAGAGAGGGGAACCTCATCAGCCAAGCTAGGCGTTACCAGCCATCTTAACCCCAACGGAGTTCACAATGCAGATCCTGAAACATTTCAGTGCCTCACTCACTGCTGAATGTCCTTTAGGAATATTGGTCAAGGGGAGGAAGGGTGAAGCAAGGCAAGACCCCCTCTGGCATCAGTACAATTGAACAAATATGTAAGTACATGTTGTTATAGAAGGGCATCTACACCATGGCACTCTGAGCCACACACTAATGTGCCCAACGTGGGGAGCAAGCACGACCCTGCTCCCCACAGTTATTTTACTGCACAGTGGCAACACTTGAGAGAGGGTGATCCTGATGGATGGAATGGAAGGGCAATGCAAGAAAAGCCTTTTGGAAACAAGTTGCTAGAGAAAGAATGGCAGATAGGAAAACAGAACAAGATGCCTAAAGCTTGTGGAAGAACAGCAAGAACAACCGTGGTTAAATAAAATACATTAAATACATGTTTCCCCTGTATAAATGCCTGCTTACTTAATTCATCTGCTGGAGTTCTGCTTTCCATCATGATGCACAACGAAACCGAGCACATATATCCAATCCAGCACAAGCCTAGTAACCTCCATACCCCATCTCTCCTCCTCCAGCTTCCAATTAAGAGCTTCCTTCCAGTGCTGCAGGAATCATGTTTGGAAAACAATAAATACCAGAGCATCATACAGAAAATAACAAAGCAGTGGCTGTTTGCTTTCATTAATCAAAGCTGCTCTCTCCACATATACAAAGCTTGTTTTCTCTGGAGAACAAAGAATTCACAGCGTGCTAGGAGGAAACAATAGAGTAAGGAAAAACAACAACAGCTGGCAGAAGCAAAGTGTTTTCTTTCCTGTTGGAAGAGTAAAGCCTCCTGGTTTTTCTCCTCCTGAATTTTTTTTTTTTTTCTTAAAACTTTCCCCCTCAAACAGCAATAGAGTGGGACTGTGCTTACCCCAAGTCCTGAAAGAAGGAGAAAAAGCTAGCTGGAATAAGGGCAAAGGGGAAGCTCTGTGCTCCTACCCCACTTCAGCATCATTTCACCATGCCAGTGTGTAAAACTGGAACTACCCACTGCAGCAACAGTCATGGCCTTGCAGAGGAACTGGCAGCTCTAGCACAGAAAGAAGCCTCAGAAGGCACTGGTGGAACTCAGCCAGAGATTCTCTGAAGAGTCTCCTGGGTTCCCTGTCACTGGGAACAACTTTGCAGCACTCTGATGCACTGACAGAGAATGCCAGCCTCTTCACAGTGAGGAGCAAGGTGAAGAAAAGCAGAAGCTCTCACCTTGAAGATATTACATTGGTCAGTCTCTCTACCTTTACCAGTCTAGGACTGATCCCATTGTAGGAATATTAATTCTTAAAACCCCACAAATTATTTTTGCATTAATGCAGCTAGTCACCAGCTAATGCTCACAAGGTATTACCATCCCACAAGGGAGTGATTTTCTCTGGAGCATCCCATGGCAAGACATCATCAATATATTTGTGAAGCAGCAACATCCATTTTTAGACATTCATCATTTGAACTCTGTTATGCTGAGACAGATCTATGTCTGTGATACTCAGAGACCTGGATCCAATATAGAAAACCTTCCCCTCATCGGGCTTGTTAAATTTGTCTGAAACACGAAAAAGACAAGCGATTAAGGCAGATTCCCAAGTGCCTGTCACAGAGACCTTCACTCCCAACCTGTGAATCACTAGCAGCACCTAGTGGCCGCAATACATTAAACAGGAGGTTTTCAGGTTCTACACAATGGTTCTAAACGATGTTTGTCAGCTTATTTACATCAGTAGCTTGAATTACAGCAAGACCAGCGCTACAGAGATTCTCTCAAACGCTCACGTTATTTCTGTATTCCAGGGAACTACTGCTGCCTGCATCAACCTGGACTGAGCCCCAAGGACACTTCAGCTAGCCAGAGGCCGCTGCCAGCATAGCTTCTGCTTCAGCCATCTGAGCACAGTAGCAGGAACTTACACTTTCCACCAGGCTGGAGAGCATCCGGAGAGCTCCCAGAAGCAGCATTACCACGTGCACGTGGCATGCAGGAGCGTAACCTGGGAGACAGGTTATGCTCACATAACACAGCCCAAGAATAACTTTACACAGAGACCCCCAGGAGAACACTACATGCTGCTACATCAGCTCAGAGGGAGGAACAGGACAAAATGCAGAGCAACTGAAGATCAGTCTCTCCCCTCTGCTCCTGTTCCAACAGCTTCTCAGGGGGAAGAATGCACAGTAACAGCTGGGATGACTACAGCATCTAGAACAGATTAAAATACAGTGCAGATGAATTCCCAGCTACTGAGATCAACCACTTTTTACTACCAGGAAGGAAAATAAACTACAGCAAAGGGAACATACAGACACTTTTATTGCTCACCTTTTATACAACAGCACACCTTCAGCCATTTTCTTTCACAGCTTGACAACGTTTATGTACACAAAAAACCCAGCAAGAAGCATTATGTGGATTTCAGTAAAGAAAAAAAAAAAACAAACCCAAAACATCAGAACATCAAACTCAGCCAGGCTTTGTTTTCTGCAGCAATAATAAAAGGGCTTCCTCTGGGCAGGAACTAATCTTCCCAGGCCGTAGTGCATTTCTTTAAAAAGACAACCACCAAAACAAATTGCCCTAGATTTGCTGAGCCAGTGGTATTAACTTGCAAACTAAATAAATTTCAGTTTGTCATCTCTTCTAGCTGATTTCAAGTAAAAAATTAGGTTTGGAGGAGGAGCAACTTGTTTTGGATGGAAGCAGGTCAGTTTGAATCGCTACACCTAACTACAGGCCCACACGTACTATCGGTTCACAAATTAGCTTGGTTTTAAATGATCTTTGCAGATTTTGGCGGCGGTCAGTCTTCATTGTTGAGCAGGGGGAAAACTGTTTAGCGGCAGGTAAGGCTACTGGACATGGCACCCACAGCAGAGCTCAGGTAACAGACACCAGCCCTGTTTGCTGGAGGAACTTCCCCGTGCGTGCGCGGATGCGCGTGCAACGTCTTTGGGAATAAAACCAGAGGCCAGCAAGCCAAAAAGCAATATTCAGAACTGGCTTTAGAACAACCACTAGGGGGAAAAAATGCAGAAGTTCTGCTGTGCATTGTAACAGACAGTTAACCAGGTCTTGATATTTCTCTAAATCAAAGCAGAAGGCAAACACAGAAGTGTTTTGAGCAGAGTGAACCAGTCCAACATCTAAAAGATGTTTAGGGTGCAGTGGGCAGTGATGATGCGTTTAATTCAGACAGGCTGGGGATGGGAGAAGAGGTCTACAGAAAGAGTTGTACTTTGCTTATGGCAAAATATCCCACCCAAAGAAATTCTACCTGCCAAGTACAAACCTGTACTAATTCAAGCAGTAATTAAGCCATGCCTCTGAAACCAGGTTTCTATTACGTGAGCTCTGCTGAAGCAAAAGTTTTTAGCAGCCTCAGCTTGTGAAGTGTCTTCCTTGTCCAAAGCCAGATTGATTATACTGATAACCTCCATGCTGGAAGTGCTGCTCAAACTGCCCCCCTTGATTAAAGTTCTGTCCACCTCTGCCCCCCCAACCTCCTCCTTGACCTCCACGGCCACCACGACCACCACGGCCACCCCTTCCTCCTCCACGCCCACCTCCTCGGTCACCGTGGGACCCACCATCTTGATATCTGTTGTCTTGCTGGTAGCCACCGCCACCACCACCCTGGTACCCACTTCCTGAATATGAAGATGACTGGTAACCACCATAGCCTCCTCCTTGGTAGCCACCGCCGCCACCACTGTGGTAGCCACCTGTTTGGAAACCTGCATCTCTGTAGTTGCTCTCCCTGTAGCTGCCATCCTGGTAGCCACCACCTCCACCATCTGTCCAACCTCCTTGAAGCTTGTTTCCTCTTCCGCCTCCTCTGCCACCGTGATCATAACCACCACGTCCTCCTCGGCCCCCTCGATCGTGGCCTCCTTGTTCATGACCTCCTCGCCCTCCATATGAGTCATAGCCTCCTCTTCCTCCTCGGTCGTGACCCCCATGGTCATAACCCCCTCGCCCTCCATATGAGGACTCGTAGCCACCTCTTCCTCCCCTGCCACCGCCTTGTTGTGGGCCGGCCTCTGGTCTTTTCTGCCACGGTGGCATCTCAGGAGGGGGCGGTTCAATTTCATTGGGCCTTCCTCCCCTGTCAGGCACTCTGCCCATTAGCACCTGCAAGAGGAAAGGAAGAATTGTTTTAAGAGTTGTAACACTGCACAGACGAGTCACATTTTCTGATACACACCACAAAAAACAGCTGTTCAAGGGGTCTTACACCCAGAGGATTTCACCGAGGCAAACTTCTGTCTGCTTGAATGCAAGAGACCTTTGTCCCCAACTAATGAAAATTAAACCCACGGATGATCTAGCACTCCAGGCAGTGCTACCAAGACAAGTCAAGAGACCTGTGGTTTTTGTTCAAACAGCTGGCACACCAGTAGAGGCAGCATCAATACAGACTTTCACTAAACTGTTTCCTAGTGCAGACTACTCATCTCAAACACAAGTGCAGTGCAACATCACTAGTGCTCCAAGTTGTTGAAGAAGCCATTGGCTTGGTAAACAAAGTGCAAAGACTTCTGTTTTTCAGGACATGCAAGAAATCATACACCAACAAACAGGTGCCAGACAGCACTATTCAGAGTTGAACAACATTCTAGAGGTCTTTATCTGTCTAAAGATACTGTGACATTCAGAATTTAGCAAGACTTAAAATGGAACAAGACATATGCATTGTTTAAAATGATGGAACAGAAAAAAATTCCAGGGAAGCAGGTCACTGTTACTTTCTGTTGCTCTCTTGGAAAACATGTTAAATTGGGAATAACAGAATATGGATCGGCAGCAGGGCAGTATTGCATTCCTAGTAAAACACACATACAGTCTGATGATACAATCACACCTGTCTTCCCACTTGATTTTTTACATTCCACATTCAAATTACACTAAAAAGATGGGAAAATTATTTAGGGTGAAGCCGGTGTGGTCAAATCAGCACATCACCATTCTATCCTAAATTAATTAGAACATTGCCTACAATACAGTTGGTACCCAGGAGGGAGAAGAGCATGCACGTACACCCACAACTTTTCAAGTACCAAGTGCACTGCTGTACATAGCCACCCAGCTTTAAGTTCAGCACATGTACTTTTGTGACACTGTAACTCCTGCAAAATTATAAGTCTGGCAACAAGTTAAATTGTTTAGTCTAAACCATATTCCTACTATGTCGTTACTAAAGGTACACCACTTGACTATAATCTCTTTTATTTGTGTACACAGGGGAACCTAACTCATGAGATTCTTGCTTTGTGATCTTAATACATTCTATTTATGTAGACCAGAAACACAGCTGCCATGTAGGTGTTATCTTAGACAGTGACTGAAACAGGTAGCAGCATAACGACATCAGTGATTCTGATAACACAGACCAGGCCTACTCCCACTGATAGTAGTCAAAGACATTTCAGAAATTTTTAATTGCTCTGAACCTAAACAGATGAAATTGCAGTTCCCATAATGCACTGATGCATAATCTGGAATATATAAACACCAAATTTCTTACCCATTATTTCCAAATTCCACATACAGTCTTAAAAAAAAAGTAATATTTAACACTACATTCAAATTGCTTAAATATTCACAACAGAACAAGCCATTTGCCACCAAAGGTACCTTATTAATGGCACATGCAGTCTTCTCTCGGATGGAGCCACTGCTTGTTCTCATAATCTTGGACAGATCCTGCCGAGCCGCCAAGAGATGAGCAACGGAAATAGTGCACTTAGTAGATAAGAGGGCACGTTTTGGCTGGTAGACTTTAGCCAGTTTTTCTGTTTGACTCTGTTGGAGAGAAGAAAAAGCAACCCCAGTCAGATAAAGTAATAAGAAAGCAATGGGACACCCCACCAAAAGAATCAAATCAACACCAAAAACCCCAAAACACTACTGTAAATAGAACAAAAATAAAACCAGTGAGAACCACCTTGTAACTAAGAATCACTGCAACAAACATTTGTCAAATTAATTTCTTAAGTAATACAGGAAACACTATTCTGTCTGAACTGCCAAGATACCATCTTCTGACAATTTCAAGATTAACAGTATCTACATGAAGACCATATGACTTTCAGGCAAACACAGAATAGAAGCGTGCCACATAGTTACATAAATTACTGCTAATGTCTAAATGACACTGAAAGTGAAACACCTCTGTGTCCAGCCTCCAGACCACCCCATCTCCAACACTGTATCAGCAGAAGAAGGTTGTGTTAATTCTTCCACACTCTCCACTCCAGTCAGCTTCTTCTCAAAGGCAAACCATCAAGAGGAACTGGCAGAACTAAAGCTCTCCTCACCTGCTTGTTCTAATTCAGCCCTTTGTCTCACGTAGTAGTGCCCGAGATCCCACACCTGCACTTTGCCTTGTATGCAATCTCTCTTCCTCTATTGCCTTTTGGTGTTAACCATACTGGCTTTTTTGAACACAGCAACAGTACTACAGCAATTTTCCAATTGACAGACACAACAGAAATCTGTGCTACCAGCCATGAGTTAATACATGAGTCACACTTGTCTTTGGTTATCCACAAAGTATAACGTGTGATGCACTTAGGACAAAACAGATTGCAATCTTCACCAAGACAAAAGGGGTGTTTTTTGTCTGGACCCAAGATGACAGCAGTGGGGACAGGCAAACCAGGTTTTCCAACAAATCTCTTGACAGGGCAATAACTTAGAAGTAGACTTAAACTTCCTAAAATCCTATTTTCTGTCTAAAGGCAGAAAACTGGAACCTAGAAGAATTGAGAGAATGTATTTCCAAGTGATTTAATTATACATCTTTCTGAACCAAAAGCTTCTACTGTTTTATTACAACTAGAACAGTTTATTCAAAATTAAGGAAAACATACACATCATTTACCTGATGCTGGCTAAAGACAGAAGAAACAACAGTATTCACCAGAGCAGTAGCATGCTTTTCCTTGGCAGGTTTGACTGAGCTCCGAGCACAATATTTTGGTGCTACGATGTTATACTTCTGGGTGAAACTTGAAATTTTTGCACTTATAAACACCCTAGTAGTAGACTATAAAGTTTTTACTGGTGTTTCTACTGTCTAGAGAAGTTAACTATTTAGTTGTACCACTGTATTCTGATACTTTTAAACGTTTTTTTCTTTAAATTCCCCATTAAAGCATCGTTAAGTGTTACTGTCAGTACAAACTCAATTGCATGTCTGGAAAACCATAGGCACTTTCTCCAATTGTTATGGTCCCAAAAAATTTAGATTTGTACTTCAATAGATAAAAATGCATATATACAATTTGTGGGGTTTTTGAAAGGATTTCACGTAGCTTGTCAAGTTCAAAAACATCTGAGAATTCTCCTACAAAGAAAACCCTGAACAACCATGGATCTAAATGCCAAAGCTATAACACAATTAGAAGTCCCTGGTTTTTAACCTAATCCATACTTTTACCAGTTTTCGTTCACTATTAAAATATTCAAATGATCAGATAGTTCTTCAATCATTTACTAAAGACAGTGTATCAGCAGAAGTCCTGCTCAGGTGATGAAACAGAAAAGGGGAGAGGTCACAGTTTATTATTAAAATACAGTTGCTTTTTGAATAAATCATTTATCAAGAAAAGAACCTTGATGATTCATGTGTCACAGTTTATCACTAATAACTCAGTTTCAAACACTGCCAGCAGCATAATTAACAGCATGTTAGCAGATCTGGTTTAGTCCTGGAAAATAAATGATACGTAGTATTTTTTAAATCTTGTAATTCCTTTTTCACTATGAAATACAGTAAATAAGGAAATCATGTAATTATTTTTAAAAGCAGAATTTGTATCATATACTCAGAGAGAACAGATGTCATGTCACAGCCACTTGCACAGTTCAAAGACAAAAGAAGCACATAGAATATTACCCTGTCTATGAGGTAAGAACAAGTGGTGCCTTAGCAGCTTTTCTCATGTGCATCTGTGGAGTTGTGCTTGCAGACACACTTTGAGTTAAGGAAATCTGAGCACTGTGGACAGCACAAAGTAAGTTAAGGGATGGTCAACAGGAAGATGGTTTTCTACCATCACACAGATACAGCACTTAACAACTCACATTATGGAACTCTGAATGCAAATGGCTGGATCAGTAATATCCTCTTACTATTTTTTTCTAGCATCCTACTTAACTGCTATGTTTTGGCTTTCATATATAGTTACACACAGTCTGTCTTCTCATTTCACATACTGTTTTAAATCCAACAAATCAGTTTTAAGTAAAAAATTTTTTTTAGTCATCTTACATTATCAGACTTCTTCAGAAACTCAAACCCAAACTAGATAACTCCTGCGGTTAATTTGTACTCACGAAGGATGAAACAATGACATAGTTTTCCAGAAATACTTATTATAAAGCATTACCATCAAACAGAACTTCACAGCAAATTGTTTGTACCTTAGCTCTATCTGACCAGCCAAAAGACTGCACAGTAACATCCAAACGCTTGACTAACAGTTTTCTTCGGACTTCGTACTCGTTGACTATGGCTTGATTAATTGCTTCAATTTTTTCCTGAAACAAAAATTTGTAAATATAACAAATATATTCAAAACGTTTCTACTTAGGATAATAAACTATGTGGATGAAAAAGAATAAGACATACAGAGATATTAAGCAGGGCTTAAGCCTGCAATTATCTACCTTGTCAAATGGGCTCACAGCAAGCTATACCTGCTGACGCTATTTTCCTGAAGGCTTCAAAGGCTCTGTTAAAGTCATGTTCAGCTTGCTACCATTTCTAACAGCACAGCTGCCTGTTTTTCAGAAGGGACAGAAAAATTGCATGCACTGCTGAGGCATTTCTCAACACCCACCAGGACAGAGAAGCGAAAGTGAGAAGACATTTCATGCAACAAGCTGAAGGAGATGCAAGGACGTGTGTAAGTCCCAGGGACCAGGATGTCCTTGCCTTCTTAAAAAGCAGTAAGCTTAAAGGACAAAGACAGAGCAAAGATAAAGGACTAAAAGTAAGTGAAGTACTGTAAGAGGATCTTGATTAAAGCACAATCTGCATACAGACAAGACAACAAAAGTACCCTTCAGGGAAAAGCCATCACTAGAAACACCTGGCAGCAGACAGCAGTCTAGTCAGAGATAAACACCACTGCAGAAGCTATTGATGTACTGAGGGAAGCCTGGCTTGGGGAGGGAGAGGCAGGGGGGCTCACTTTCAGCCTCTACCAGCACCAAATGAAGCAGGCTGCTGGGAGCAGATAGATGAGCTTCAACTTTAAGTAAGAGGCACAAGAGACTGGCTGTCTTGCAGCAGTAGTCATAGCTTTTTGCTGGTGCAGCAGCAGTATCTAACCCAGGCACCATCCTTCTACACCAGCAGGTGACAAAACCCAGCGGGAGACGACTGTGGCTCTGCTGCCTGTGTGTACAGCCCCTCCCAGCTTCCACCTGCACACTCACTGCTTCTTGGGGAAGAGCCTATGAAAGAAGCAGACTATTCCAACTCAACAGCTAGAGAGGAGGAAATGATGGAAAGACCCTGAAGTTAGCTAGAAAGAAGCCACAGGAGGGCTGGGTCACACAGATAGTGCTGGCAAGGGGCAGGAGAGGAATGCTTAAGTTAGTGCACAAGCACGTGGGTCAGCACCACCACTATAAATCTTCCTTATTCTAGAAACCTTTTGCCTGCATCTGGACATACAGGTTCATAAGCTGAAGACCTTATCAGCTGCTGAACATTTACTGTACCAACATGTATGTAAAATATTGCATTAAATGGTCTTATCTTCAGAAAGAGATGAGAAAAATAATTTTGCAGCGTTACATACAGAATAAAGATCAATACTTTGTACACCTGAAAAAGGGAAATGGGCTTTAATCCCTGCAACTACTTACCCAGTGAGCTGGTCCCAGCTGCTTCTTCAATAAAGGTTTTCCAACATGATTAGGTGGAACCTTCGCTAGGGTTTCCTTCAGCTGTTAGGAGACATATAAAAAGATAAGCATTGGCTTAAAAAAAAAAAAAAAAAAACAGCTTTTCAAGACTCAAATTACAGGAGAGGACTCTTTTACAGTCATAGGCATGACAGAGCAACCTCCAATATCAAGTTGTTTTCTCTCTGAGACAGAGAACCAAGCACATTACTTTTGGAAAGCAACTACTTTTTTATTTCTGGTAGTCTTGGCTGTAATTATTTAAAATATAAGAGAGGACTATGGAGTAGACCTACAGTTAAAACAGGAAGATTCCATGAGGTACAGTTCCCCCTGAAGACAGATGGATTATTCTACACATCATCTCTTTAACTCAGGAAAAAAACCCAACACATTTGCATTCAAAGAGCTTGTATCAAGACTGTGTGAAACATATAATGACCTGAAGAAGAGCCTCTCTTTACAATCAAAAGGAGCAAAAAATACAAAAATCCAAATTTAACTTGTGTTTTAAAAGTTTGAGCACTACTTAGGTTATCTTTCCCATTTAAAAATTTCTGAAGACCTCAGGGGGACAAAATGTAGTATCAGCAATAAAAAACTTGGATCAAAGCAGGCTGGAGTTATGGAACTTCACTTTTCCACTGCTGCAAACCACATTTTTCAGCTTCCTTGTCTGTTCATTCCAGCAGTTGATTTAACACATTCAGTGTGATCTGGTTTTCCAGAGTTGCTGAGCCCACTTTATTTAACTTGGAAGATTTTAAACCCAAGTGCCTTCAGAATAGCAGAGGTAGCAGTTCATTCACACATGAGCAGTTTCTTTTTTAATGTGATGGATCATTAACAAAAAGAGTCAATTATACAAAGATCCTACTCCAAACCATACCATGTATATGCAAAAGAAAAAGGCAGCCTGATTTTCACATGCTAGATCAGATTATTGACATTCTAAGACTCACTTTTTAATGAGAAAACTTTAGGGTGATGCCTTGTTACAACTGTCATCTTACAGTCAAGATGAAAACTGTCACTCTATGGTATTTAAGTTTTCACACTTTGGTCAATTTTGTGATGTATTTTCATTCACTAAGTGAAACAAGTTTTTCATTTATTAGTCAGCTTCACCCTCTCCTTACTATCAACACCAGATTGTAAGCACCACAGCTGTATACCTTTTCTAAAAAACTCCATAGGTTAGAAATTCATGATGTATTTTATTACACTATGACTGTTCAGGTTGGTTGGTTGTGAGTTTTGTTTGGTTTTGGTGGGTTTTTTTGTTTGTTTGGTTGGTTGGGTTTTTTTTGGGGGGGGGCGGGGTTTCTTTTTAGTATAACCACTTATGGATATACATCATTGCAGTAACATCCATTTAACCTTGCAAGAGGTCAAAGGTAAAAGAATGACAGAATACCAAGTTGGAAGGGACCTCAAGGATCATCTGGTCTAACCTTCCTTTGCAAAAAGAAAAGTCAATTAGCAAAACACAACAGAATTCCCAGATTAAAAAGATTTTTATCTACTTGGTAATATGTATTTTTATAGTATCTTTCACCAGAAAAGCTTGTAAATTGTTATATTTTCTACCTTTTACAGAAAATGGAAGCACAGATTTCTTATGTATCTAAATACTTAATGGCCATGACAATGCTAAAATATCAGAAAACAAACTGCTTCCATTCTACATGTGGGAATTCTGCTGGAAAACTATCCTATTCTCCTTAAACAAGTCAATCCAAACTGATTTCTTATAAAGAAATGAAGCACTATTTTCAGTTGCTTGGATTTGTTTAAGCACCACGCAACTAAAAGGTTAGCCAAAGAACTCTGATTTTGGGGAGCTTTGTAATATTTGTTCTTTAAAGCTCACAAAGGTCCTTTTTTTGCAGTTCTGCTCTCCCCTGTCCTACAAGTTAAATTAATTAATCTAACTTAGAAACTTTCTGAGACCTTTGGTCTGTGCACTGCACAGTCCATTCTACTTCGTCTCTGCTTTATAAAACTTACTCAGAAGTAAATTTCTTTTTCAAACACCAACAACAACCTGGAGAATACATACATGTAAAGGAACAAAAATAAATGGAACCACAAGAACTGATGAAGCCTTAGGGAAAAGGCATAAACTTGACTTAAGGTACAACATCTTTTACCCTGAACATTTTTAAAACAGGAGGTTCCTGTAAAACTTTGTTTAGGTGTACTTCTTAGAATACATTTCTCCTGAATGTTCTTCTGAGGCCTAAGCTCAGTTTTCCACGTCTTCTGCAACAGGTGATGACATTAAAACCTAGAGCAGAGTAAAAGATACCTCACCCCGAAAGGCAATGACAGCAGCAGTCCCTGACCTCGTGCCTTGGCATGGAAAAAGCCTTTAATTTCCAAAATCCTGACTCTGGGCCTGCTCAGTAAATCACGTTAATTCTCGGTCACAATTCAAACTGGAGTTTCACAAGAGGCAAATCTCTCCCTAGTAGCAAAACTATTTTCCATCAAAACAGTTACATCACAAATATTCTAGGTTGGTTCCTTTGGATCTTACTTTTTTTTCAATTCCACTGAAGAACTGGAACATCGTTATGTTGGCTGGAGGCTTGGACATGCCTAAAGCAATACATATGCCTTTTAGCTCCTGAAAGACTTCACTGCCACCTCCTTCCTGTGCTTTTTTAGGAGGGGCATTCACACACAGCATTCTGGCAGCTTCCAGTTCTGAGATGAGGTATGCTGGGTAAGAAAAATTAGATTTCAGCATCAGATATAGCCAAGCTAAGTTATTTTAGAACCAGTGAGAACTCAAGCGTTTAAAACCAACAAATGTGCAAACAGATTGTTTTAAAGTGAATGCTGTAATTTTGGTATCCACAGAACGCTCCTATTTCTAACAATCACTGAGCCCAATGCTAGAAACAAAATAAACAGGGGAAGGTTTAGTACAACCAATTGAGGCCTGGAAAAAAAAAATCCCTATGATTCCAACAGGTTAATCATCACAGAGTTCAACAGAGCACAGCTCTTTTCCTTCAGGCTTTGCCCAGCAAAGACAGGAGACTAGGAACGTGGAAATAAGCAGGATGAGGGACTGGGACATGCACTTTAAGCTAGACAAGCACTCCTTGAGGCTCTAGGAAACAAAGCAAGGAAACGAGTAGAGAGAAGTAAAAGGTTGGATCAATCTCCTCTACTTTGCCCAGGCAAGGTGCAGAGTGGAAAAATAAACCCACTTTTAAAATTACTATTGAAAACTCAGGTTTATAATAATTCCAGAAAGGCTGTAACTGATGAAATAGAAGCTAGGATGCCTACAGTGCTCTTCAACATCAGAACTGCAAGAACCTACCATCACATTAGAACTCTTTTATCAAACAAAAAAATATTAAAATCACAATTTCTGAATGCTATACCCCCAACATTTTAGCATTAGGTGTCAGTTACAGTAATACAAATATAGCACACAGCCTTTGCTTGCGATTGTCACAATTTAAAAAACTGAATTGAAAAAAATACACAAGTTTAACATTACTTCTATTATGAATCATACTGGGTGACCATAACAGTAATGTAAATATTTCTAAACATAGGGACTGAAAAATAGAAACTGCACTGAAAAAGACAGACTTGAACAGGGATGCAAACCTATAGCTATACAAAAGCAGCTTACTACCCATAAAATAGGGACAGATCAAAAGATTAACAAAAGAACAAAGCATTTTAATAGTCTCTAGGATTTCTTGTAGGTCACAAATTCTGCTAAAGACACAGAATACCTTATAAATTATAATATTCCTAAAATATGTAAAACAGCAAAGGATCCTTTGTTAAGTTCTGTAAACAGTACTTTATATAGATGTTTCTTAATTTCTACTTTCAAGTATTTACACCCTGTTAGGACCTCTTGAAAAAGAAAAGAGCAGCTGAACTTTGTTTTAAGAATTCAGAGATCACATTCAAGCTACCTTCAACTCCCTCTGACAGACTGAATTTTTTAAGTCTATCACTGTAAAAGAGAAATGTTCTCCAGAGAGTGATTTTATTTTCAGAACTTTTCTGAAACAACCTGAAACTCCTGTACTGTTTATTTCTGCATATGCCAGTACTTAATATTGTATTCTAATGTTGTTGCACACCAAGACAATCCTAACTACATACGTTTATTTGGTGCTTTCCTCTCCCAGCAATAGTGCTACACCTTACAATTGACATTAACTGTGCTGCATTTTGTTAAAATGTAAAATACTCTAGCATTCCATTTAAGGGGGTTATTCTGTTTCTCCTGAAAAAAATCTGGGTTTATGGCTCATGTACAACAGGATACCTAATAAACTAGCTCAACGTAGGTAAAGAAAGTTATGCAAATATCAGGGTACAGAAAACAGGACTTTGGCATCTATTTCAAATCCCCATTTGACAGCAGACACAGACTTGCTGCCAGATGGGGTACCAGAGTTCAGCTTCTGAACATGGCCTTATATAACCAAAATATACATCATAGAGGACCTCTGGAATAAACTGTATGTCACACACAAGCCAAATTTATTGAATGGCTTGGATTACAGGGAATAAGCTGAAGGGCAGATTGTTTGAGCTTTGAAATGCAACAATTACCTCACTTCATCTGACATTTTTGAACATACTATCAGAACAAATTCACATTAATTCTTACTACTCATCTTTTCCTACTGTTGAAATACAGGAACCTACTCTGTAATTAATTTCTTACATCTCAACTGTGGGCAGAAATAAATTTCTGTTCTGATAAGTTAAAGAATAAGCAGCAACTGAGGAAGCAAATAAACCACTAATTTATGTTGAATGTAAGATCAGATTAAAATCAATATTACGTTTCTAACTCTGACACCTGTAAAAATAGGTTTTTTTTAAACGTGAATCAACATCACATTTTTTTTCCAACTTTGTCTTATTTTTTCTCCTCTTAACATTTCCTAAGCAGGAATAAAACTAATTTAGGTACTGAGATTTGCTGGGTGGAAAAGTAAAGAGAAGACATCACTGTTGCTACTGCTAATTTCAATCAGTAGAAAGCTACACAGGAGCTATTTTTTAAGGGAAATGATCAAAACAACTGGGAGTTGGAATAAAACACTTTTTTTTCACAACAATTCCAACCGTTGCCAGACTGTACGAAAATCCAGATCTTATTGTGCCTTGAAAGTCATCTCAGTAGGGGCTACAAAAAGATGACACATCTGACGCTAGTGGTCATTTTTACAACCCCTCTAAACAAAGTTCAGCGACTAAATCCTGGCAGAAGTCTTCAAATTATTCCCTCTTTGGAGTACCTTTTGAGAAGTAATAGGACAGGTCTTTTTGCTAGTGAATGTCAAAGAGGTTAATACTTGAAATATTTTCTATCATATACTGGCTGAGTGACTGCTAAGTTTATGAGACCCCAAAGTAAACTGTAAACTACAGGGACAAATACTTCATCATTTTAATTAACAGTTTTTATACATCGTGGTAAACAAAACAACACCTCATTAAGGGTAAGAAGGAACACCATGATTGTTTCACAAATCCAGATTTGCTTTGCAAGCACCCCTGTAACTTACTAAGCAGCAACAGACAGTTCTTTTGATTATGAAGGCGTTTTGTGACGTCTCCGGATGTCAGCGAGGCATAGGGACAGTTCATTTCAGCCAGCAAGCCACTCATTTCCAGCTGAAATTCTTCTGCTTCATTTGGACCTTAGGAGGAAAAGAATAATAATTTGTTTACAGCTAAAATATATATATGGCTGCAATAAGAATGAATCAGCTATGTTTTTTTTTAAATCACGTTTTGCTCCGGTTGCTATTTAACATTAAAACTTGCTTTTTAAGGAAGCAAAATGTGTTCTTTGGGTTTCTCAAAGACACGGCACAACTTATTTGAAGCCATGATATTCCTTATTACTGTAAAACTACGTTTCACCCACAGCTTTTCCCAGATACACCAGCCAGCCACTAGCAACGTCTACAATGAAAAGTGACATTAAAATCACCACAAATTATACAGGGGTATTTTAAGTATCAGCTAACTCTTCCCACTACAACTGTATTAGACAGTTCTGATAAAGTCATGAACAATATGTTTTACGAGCTCTCCTGTTTCCTCCTCGTCAGCTCACATTTGTCTACTGATCTTATTTCATACTAACATCTTTTAAAAACAATTAAGTCACGTAACCCAAAACTTAGACTGACAGTGGTGTCAGAAACCCATGAAACTAATCTGAATATTTTAAGCTAAGCTATGGAAAATAAAGTGATTTATGAGATCTAACAGTTTTTCTTCTTTTGAAAAGGGACTTCCATCAAAAATGTCTGTTACTTATAAACTCAAGTCACACAAAATGAAGGTAGGACTTGATGGTACTACAGATAAAATGTTTCTATCACTGTCTTTACAGAATTTGAAACAGGTATTAGAATACTTCTGGTTTTTTTTTTTTTTTTTTTTTTTTACACATAATGGATAGTAGGAATCTTGCATTACTAGACTAGGTGAGATGCTGTATTGTTACAGAGAAAGGGCATCAAATGCACTCAAAGAAGAAAAGATGGACGTGTGAAAACAACAGCAGGAAAGAGTAAGAGAACAGATGTTGAGGTGAACGGCAGCACACTCTGGCCACTGAGTAGACTGAAAGTTAAGCTCATAAAGGCATTATGAGTAAATACTTTAGATATTCAGAAGTACAGGTTATCATGCCAATTTAACAATTTTATCTGTAGAGTGTCATGACTAGTTGACCAAAAATAACATTTTTTTTTTTTAAACTAAGGCTTGCTTCCTCTACCAAAACAATAAACAAACCTTTTTAAACACTTTGTGAGAAGGAGTTTGAAGTGTTATAAAGATGGAAACATGCATAGTAAGCACTTAGTTAAGGTAACCAACAGCAAGAAAATACCGTTACTGTTGTCATGTTTCCTTGAACTGTAGGTATTTCCTACATCAAAATTACAAACAGAAGTGTTGAAATAAAAGCATTTTCATTACCTTGATTTAAAAACCCCAGTAACATTTCCTTAAATCCATTCAAGAATTTTAAAGAAATGCCATGGTTGAACAATTAAAAGAAAAAGCTTATTTCAGAAGAAAAACGGTTTGATCTTCACTATTATTTCACCCTCTACTGGCTGTTCATTAGGCAAGTTGGAAGTGGAAAATATCCAAAATCTGACCGCATGCAGACAATACTCCCTGGTACAACAGATTTAGCAACTGTCAGCCCAAATCTTTATGGCATGCAAGAACACACAAGTGCACATTTGGGTGAGAGTTGTGGCTACTTACTGTTAGTTGCCTGCACATTTTCCTCTAGTTTACAGAACAGCCGTAACTCGGATACCAACCAAGCACAGAGTTTGGTGAATTCAGGGGAACTGGCTCCACGAGAGACTGCCTGTGCCAGCGCTCCCTCATCTAACAATGGACCTTTGTAACTGACAAGTAAAGCAAAAGCACAGTTTATTAACATTTGCTACGGCTGATGTCCTGTGATAATTCATTTTAACCTGTATGCATACTGAGAGCTACACCCCCACCCCATCTGCAGTGCTGAACAGGTAAGATTCCTGCACTGAACTGCAAGAAAAAGCATACTGAAAACTTCTGAGCAACTCGCCATTTCCACCCACGTTTGCTTCCTGCCAAAGAGCCTGTGCCACACAATATCAGCATCAAAGTTTTCAGCCTGGACAATGTTATCACATACAGTGGCAATGTCTCTGCCTCTGTCTCCTGAAGATGTTACTTACCACATCCCTATCTAGGGCAACTGCAGCTTCATTCTTGAGCACTGCTTTAAAGGATGCTGAGTAATTACTGCTGATCTAGAGCACCTTCTCTGTCGTTTCCTATCACGTATTAAAGGGCTGCCATGCAAAACAAAGCCTTCAGTACAGATGTTACAAAAAGATCTGCAAAGCAATATCCTCTTTTAAAGAATTACCTTCTTAAATGGGCACAAGCAAAATAGATTTTTTTTCTTTTGCATAAAGAAAATAAGCCAATATTTGGCCTAGTGTAAGAAAGAATGAGCCTACAGGTTGGATGTTAGAAGACAGGTTTTTGGACATCTGTGTACTAATACTCTGTCAGGGGACATTGGAAGAGTAGGGAGATTCCCTTATAACTAGGTAGATGCACAAAGAGCTTATAGGAGTATTTAAGAAAAAAAAAAAAGCACAGTATTATATTGATATACCACAACCAAAGCAGAAAAACATCCAAGAGGGAGTATAATCAACTGAAATCCCTCCTTTGAGCTCCCAAGTAATGTCGCCCACTATGTCACAGCAACCCCGTCCAGTCCAGTCAGCTCTTGGCAAACCTCAGAAGTAAACAAATCTCTCAAAGACCAGAATAAAATGTCATTCTCCACACTTTGTTCCTGTGCTTAATATCACATATAAAGGACATGGTGTGCACTGCAGCAGCCTGCTACTTCACCCAACCAAAATGAAGAAGCCACACTCAAAAACGGCTGTTACCTCACCTCAGAGAGCAGCTCGGTTCCCAGCACAGAGTTAACCTAGTAGCAGCCTGTGGGAAGCTGTAATCTGATGTATCACAACCCAAACACTTTACCACAGTAGACTAGACAACTCCAGTGGGCTAATTAGAGCAAGTTTAAGTCCCATCCCACAGACATTTCACCTACACATGTACAGCTGGGACTCAGAACCAAAACATCCAGTTATAGACCAAAGTAGAAGGGAAGTGATAACAAGCCCTTTGCTTAGGCAGGGTTTAGTTTTAAGTCACTGGTCACGTCAGATGCCCCTTTTCTAGAATGTTTCTTTGACAGATATGACACATTGACTGTGTTATCTCTCATAATTATGACTTCAGCTACACATCTATCTGACCAGTAATCCAACTTGCAGATTCCTGGCCGCAAACAGCTTTTCCCTTCTGTTCCTGCCAGTGGTACATGTTTTAGAGCTACACTCCTCTTTCAGCAACATTATGCTGTCCATTTTTTTTTTGCTATTTCAATAGTTCAACAAATTAACTTACAAGGCACAAGACCACTGAGCACCTTGAGCACAAATCCAAAAAGAAATAACTTTGATGTTCAGTGAAAAAAAAAAAAAAAAAAGGTGGAACTGTGAAGGATCTTGAAGCTATTGCCAAAGCTTAAAACCCCAAACACCCCAGTCTCTCCAGACCCAAGGAAACAGAAATAATTTAGTCACATGCAGTAGTTTTCCCAGTTGTTACCAATACCGTTGAAGGCCTCGTGTTTTTGCCCTCCAAATTTTTTTTTTCCAACCACTGTTGCCAATCTTGGTTGATATGACTTATTTTTTTAATCTGCTTTCATTGTCCAATTTATTTATTTATGTCAAAAACTGATAGCAACACCTTCTGTCTATAGTTACACAGATAAGGAGCACAAATCTCAATTCCTTCAAGCCACTAGTATGCTTTTGAACCCATGGCAGAAAAGAGAAGCTGATCACCATACATGCATCATTGGAGAGACCCTCCCACATTTCAGTCAGAGAAATACCTGCCAAAACAGAAGCCTGTTTGTCAAGCTTTGGAACTATCCTCACCAACTCTGCCTGAAAATATAATCAATCTTGGAGCATAATGATTCTAGTCACAAAGTGATTTACAGGAATGTGGCCAATGTGAGTGAATACAGCAGCACAGAACCAGCAGGAACAAAATTGTACCTGCCTCTTGTCTGAACTCAACAGTTTACAGGCATGCAAGCTTACAGCAGAGCACATTCTCCTTGCTCTCCCTTTCGTAATTATATAACTTTTACTGACTCTGACAGAGTAAAAGGTTTAAACGAGTTTCTTGTGTTGTATTTTTAAAAACAGCAAAGGGAAAGATATGCTGCCACTTAATTTTTTATTTTTATTTTTTTTAATAAAAAGTTGCCCTTTCCTCTGACTTCTCCTAAAAAGTTTCTTTCTCCCTTCCCCACCCTCAGCTCTACTGAGCAGAGGAGTTACTGGTGAGATAGTATTGAAGAATCAAGGTGATGAGGACACAGTTAGAGCTAAAACGTCTGCAAAGGCCGTACAGCTAGAATATTGCCTGTTCGACTCC